GTCGCAATCTCACTATTTGTGAGATTGAGCCCCACCTTGGGCTGTGTGCTACCAGTGTGACCTGCTTGGGATTCTCTCTCTCTGCCCTTCCCCTGCTTGTGCTCTCTATGTTAAATAAATAAACTTCAAAATACATACAAATATACATACATACATACACACCTACATAAAGGAATTATACATTTGAAACAAAGGTAATGTCAACTATTACCTCAATAAAAATTTTTTTAAGATAAATTAAATGAAAATTATCTTCAAAATTAATTAAGAAGTAAAAAATTAAACTATATTCACAATGAAAAAGAACTATGGATAGAACATATATAATTCAAGCTAAGAGAATACATAAACAACTTTATACCAAAAAATGTAAAAATTAAGTGATATCAGTATTCCCAAAAAAGAGCCAGTAACCCAAACTGACTCTAGAATAGAAAATGTGAATAGTTCCAGAACTATTAAAGAACTGAATCAATATTTTAGATTTTCTCACATAGAAAACACAGGCCCAGAGGCGCCTGGGTGGCTCAGCTGTTTAAGCGTCTGACTTTGGCTCAAGTCATGATCTCACAGCTCGTGGTTTTGAGCCCCACATTGGACTCTGTGCTGACAACTCAGAGCCTGGAGCCTGCTTCAGATTCTGTGCCTCCCTCTCTATCACTCTATGTCTCTGTCAAAAATAAGTAAAACATTTTAAAAATTAAAAAAAAAGAAAGAAAACACAGGCCTAAACTGGCTTTACAGGCTAGTGTGACCAAAGATTTAAGGAAAGAGTAATTACCATTTTACACAGAGAAATGAAAAAGAAGAAACACGCCTACCATCCATTTTGGTAGTCTCATCTATTCAAAAGCAGATAGGATAGTACATAAATCCCTAGCCAATCTCATTCCTAACCACAGATGCAAAAATCCCAAAAGAAATAATGCCAGAAAAATTAATGTGCGAAAAAGATCATGACCAGATTAAGTTTAATTCAAGAATTCAAGATTGGTTCAACATTAAAAAAAATCTATTAATGTAAGTTACCACATTAAGGGATTCAAGGAGAAAAATACATTATACATACACAGTTATTTCAGTGAATTCAGATAATACATGTGATGAAATTCAATGCCAATGCCATTCGTGACAAAAAATTCTTAGCAAAATAAGAATAAAAGGGGATACTTCCTTAACCTGAAGGATTATTACAAAAACTTACAGAACACATCATATTCAATGGTGAAATATTAAAAACAATTTCTTAAGAAAAATTTCTTTAAGGTTTATTTATTTATTTTTTTTTAATTTTTTTTTTT